ACCAGTTCACACCTATTCGCTAGAACCGGGTTGTTAACATTCTAAGCAGTTCGGAGAACCGGTTGTTAGAAGAAATTACTGGCCTAATCCTGTAAGGAAGGCAGGAAGGAAACATTCTGGTGTTGCTTACAGAAACCGCCTCTTTGTTAACCCTTATTACATTCTTGGCAGGACTAGACTTCCTATCTCAGAAACTTCTCTGGAGTTTTTCCCCCTCCTTTGCTGCTACTTTGCTTGTGTGGAGTGACCGTTCAAAGTTACAATGGCACTGAAAAAAGTGACTTATGACCCTTTTTCACACTTACGACTGTTGCAGCATCCCCACAGTCATGAGAGGCCAGGCGAGGAGATGCCTGCCTCGATGTGAGTGATGTTGAATTGGCCACACCCAGCCAATAACACAACCACCAAGCCACGCCCACCAACTAAGCCACGCCCACAGCACTGGTTGTTAAAAAATTTGAATCCCACCCCTGGGTAGAGTTCAGGGCTGCGCTCAAAAGATAGAGAGATTTCCCCTCATCCCAGCTCTCCCCCTGTGACCAGTCCATCTTCAGACAATCGGAACTTGCCAGATGTTTTGGAATAACCCACATCCTTTCTCTGGGTGCCTAGCGTTGGAAGCTGGTACAAACCAGTTCTGAGCTTCTCCGGCCTTCATCATCTGCCATTCCCACTTCCTATTTCCAATCACTGCACACACAGCTTTATTGCCCATCTATCCTCCCCCTGTTTCTTTGATGGCAGGATGTCTGTGAGGCGCCAAGCCGAACCTGGGAGACCTGACATTATTTGGCCACTTTCCGTATCATTTTATTTCACTTTTACAGTTTTGCTTCCTCCTCCTCTCTCTGAGGCTGGGCTCTCTTCCTGCATTCACCCAAAGACCTCCAGGGACCTTGGGACAACTTCCATCATCCCTAGCAACCAAGCCAATACCAACCCAGATGCAAAAAAAAGAAGAAAAAAAAGTCTATACCCAACTTGACAAAAGGAGTAGCTAAGAATATCTCCAAGAAAACAATTCAATTCCTCTTGGTCTTTTTCTTGCCTGTGATAATATGCTTCCATATTAAACATTTCTTACTTTTTTACTGGTGATAGCTCAGAACATAGGATTCCTTAACATTTGCATAACTTTGGAAGATGAATTTAATATTTGTATGGGGTTGTGGGTTGTTGTTGTTGTTTGGCACCATTACCGTTCTATTCATGATTGGTTTATTAAAAAAAAAAAAAAAAAAGCTTACAAACACATACATGCTAATTCCCTCTCTTGATTTGCAGTAAATTTTTGTCAGCTTTGTTTTGCAACCTGACATGTTAAATGCGGCTAACTGGATTGTTGCCCTTTTATATTTCTGGCATTTAGCTCTCCCTGTCCATTACAAATGGCTTACAGGGATGGAAACAAATTGTTGCTTGCTTCAGATTCATTATTCACTCTTTTTCATAGTAGAAAGCCGGAGAAAAATCCATTAGCTTTTCAGCTCGGTTGTGGACTCTTCTAACCTACTCAGTTCACTCCCCCAGAGCAGCTGCATTTATTGTCTCACGTATATATGACAATATGCGTTATGTAGTATTATATGGACACAATAATGAAATATAAATGTCAGCTATCTATCATTTCACTATTATGAAATGCTGAGTTCTGGAAGTCGCTTAAGAGAAGTGAGAAGAAGAATAGAATAACAAGAGTTGGAAGGGACCTTGGAGGTCTTCTAGTCCAACCTCTTGCCTGAGCAAGAAACCCAACACCACTTCAGACAAATGGTTATCCAACATCTTTTTTAAAACCTCCAGTGTTGGAGCATTCACAACTTCTGGAGGCAAGTTGTTCCATTGATTAATTGTTCTTCAAGGAAATTTCTCCTTAGTTCTAGGTTGCTTCTCTCCTGGATTAGTTTCCATCCATTGATTCTTGTCTTGTCTTCCTGGTGCTTTGGAAAATAGATTGACCCAGAATAATAGAACAACAGTGTCAGCTTTGGAAGCCGTATAAGCACCAGATGCTTCCACATTGCCACTTTCTTGAGCCTGGGAAAATGGGAGGGGGGATTTTCTCGGAGCATATGTGGTTAGACCTAATAGCATTCTTCTTCTAAGTGAAGGTCATGTTATTTCTGCACCTGGGTGAGAGGACGTCTCAAGATGGGATGGATGGTGATTGGGGCATGTGATGCGATGATGGGTGCAGGGGGGTGGATTTGTAGTTTTTACTTATGGAAGGGAAACCCGGAACTTTCAGATTTGGGATTCCCCAGATGTGCCAGTTTGCTACTCAAATAAAAGGAACTTTGGAAAGGATGTCTGTCTCGGAGTTATTTGTTTGGAGTGGAGGTTTTCTGGAGCGCTGACAAACAGAATGACAGAATTGGAAGGGACCTGGGAGGTCTTCTAGTCCAACTCCCTGCTCAGGCAGGAAACCCTATACCATTTCAGACAAATGGTCGTCCAATCTCATCTTTAAAAAAAAAAAAAAACTCCAGTGTTGGAGCTTCCACAACTTCTGGAGGCACGTTTAATGTTCAATATACAGTGATACCCTGGTACTCAACTACTTAGAAAGTCATTGAATTTGGTACTCGAGACATTTTGACGTGAACATTTTGTCCAAAGTACTCATTGTTTGATGAGTTAGAACTTGTCAGTGCCTTGTGACTTACTTACTTAGGGTAAAAATTTGTTTGGTACTCATCCTTTTTGGTACTCATCATCCGCCTCCCTGAACTGATGAATAGAATCTGCCTTCCCAACTGACTTTTGCTTTGCCACAAGGTCACCCAAGGGGATCCCATGACCTCAGGACACTGCAACTGTCATCAATAGGATGGACCAACGGCCAAGCACCCGAATTTTGATCATGGGACTGTGGGGAGACTGCAGTGGTCGGGTGAAAAACAGTCATAAATCACCTTTTGCAGTGCTGTGGTCACTTTGAACAGTCACTTCGAACGGCCCATTTTGGATGCAGGTTAAGTGCAGGGCCTGCGTGGAGACTTGGGGAAAGTGAAAAACGGGCCTCCCAGAAGTTTGGAAAAGGCCAGAAATGGGCCCGTTTCTGGCTTCCAGAGAGTCTCCGGAGCCCGGGAGAGGCCGTTTTCACCGGTGGTGGGATTCAATTTTTTTTACTACCGGTTCTGTGGGCGTGGCTTGGTGGGCGTGGCTTGGTGCGCATGGCAGGGGAAGGCTACTGCAAAATCCCCATTCCCTCCCCACCCCACTAACCTGCTTTCCAGCTCCGTTCTCCTGTGCAGGGCAACCAAAGGAGACCCAGCCGATCCGCTGGGACTCGATGGGAGGTGGAGAAGAGATGGGGTTGGCAGGGCCAATCAGAGGTGGGATTTGCCGGTTCTCCAAAATACTCAAAATTTCTGCTACTGGTTCTCCAGAACTGGTCAGAACCTGCTGAATTCACCACCTCTGGTTTTCACCCTCCCGCCGGCTTGAGGAACCCCCCCCCCCCCCGCCACCATGGTGCAGGAGGCCAACTAGGCCACACCCACCATGGTTACGCCCACCCAGCAACTGGGCGAGAACGCTTTGCTAACATTTTTGAAGCCCACCCCTGCCATTGGTCATGTGGAATGGAGTGTTCGCATCAGGAAAGAGTCATCAAGGTTTGGAAGTGTCATGAAAAGAAGAGATATCATCATTCTTCTCAGTGGTAAATCGAGGGGTAAACCACGGTTTGATGCGGCTTTGCCCCTTTTCCACCAAGAAAGAATCTCACTGTCCTATTACCACACAAAAAAGGACATGCTGTCCTCTTTGTCAGGCATGAAAGACCAGCTCCACGTGTGGAGCTCTAATGAAACCGATTTATTGCTATTCATACTTATGCCCAGGAATCTTCTCAACTATTGGTTAGCAACTGCTTGGAATTAAATAAGGGGCAACGAAATTCAAGGGAAATTGGACTTAGTTCGCTTTGTGGCTATGTAAGGATTCTAGGCTGAACCCTCTTTTGACTCCGCCCTCATTTTCTGCCATTCATTCCCCTACGTCTTTTTCCCAATCAAGAAACTGTGGGGATACTGCAGAGGTGGGGTGAAGAACAGTCATAAATCACTTTTTTCAGTGCCGTTGTAACTTTGAATGGTCACTAAACAAACTGCTGTAAGTGGAGAACTATCTGTAACACCCTTCCCAAACTTTAAGGATTCTATCAAAAAAAAAAAACCAAACCTGGAAACTGCAGAATCAAATTTAAAAACAAAAAATTAGCTCTTTTGTTCTCCACAAACTTCCCAAGGTTTTTTTAAAAAATTCCATTGGTTTTAAATTGTGGATGATTCTAAAAATTAAACTCTTAAAAGTTAATATAATCCAGAATACTTAATCAGGCTGCTAATATGATTTTTTTAAAAAAATCTTTAAAAAATACAAAATGTCATTTTTATTTCATCCATTGCAAACTAGCATTTTTAGCCAGGTTATAACAAAATGGCCACACAGCACTTATTATATTTCCAAAAGAAATATTAATACAAGGGAAGTGGGGTTTTTTTGTTTTTAAGAAAATTATATATACATAAGTTTTAGAATTATGTAACAGATCATGGGTTAAAATAATACTTATATTAATAGAAGCAGTTTTGGCTCATTATATACATATATCAGAATTAATACCATTTTTTTTCTTTATGTTCAAATCTGAACAGATCAAAAACACCCATATACTTCTCATCTTTTGCCTAGTCCCAGGTATAAAAGTATTACTTCAGGATATGGCATATTACAAAAGAGGATGTAAGTTGCAAAGTAGGAATGTTGTATTTTCCATCATTTCATTAGATTTAAGAGCCATTTTAATTCAGTTTAGGGGAACTTTATGCAAATAATGTAAGGCTGTTTTTTTTTCCTTCTGAAGCCTCCAGGAGAAGGGATGAGTATGGGGAGGGATAAAGAAGGGATGGGGAAGGAAGAGAAAGAAGGGAAGGATTACAAAGGGAAAAGAAAAGAAGTGATGAAGAAGGGAAAGTAAGGGAAAGGGAAGAGATGAGGAAGGGAAAGGAAAGGAAAGGAAAGAAAGGGAAAGGAAAGAAAGGGAAGGAAAGGGAAGGGATGAGGAAGGGAAGGGAATTCCAGGAGAGAAATGGACCAATATACTTCTCAGAACTTTTCCCCGTGTAAGGATGGAAGTATAAAAACATCAAATACATTTTTAAAAAAACTTGAACGTATGGATCGGTTTTAACATGCAGCAGAGTTATCCATGATGATGCTATTGGTTTAGCAGAAATAGACACAGAGATTGAGCAAATAGGATGGAGGAGTGGAGACAACCAGATTCAACACCATGCTGAGATGCAGAAAACTACAAACCACCCAGAGTGGAGATTTGCAAAACAAAATCGCTCGGCTCAAGGCAAACTTCCTCAAACCAGTGAAACCAGCTGACTCATGAGGAGTTTTACTTTGAACCTGAAGGCCTCCTGGCCTGCTAGGGCAAGAGCTGTTCAACTAGCATCAGCTTTTGAGCTCCGTCAAGCTTGGAGCTACACGTTGCACACCATTCTCCAGAAGTAGCTGAGGACTGAACCCAGTTGGGAAGACAGTCTTCAGGAAACTTAAGGCGCTAAAATTGCTATTTTAAGCAACTTTGGGGACCTGTCAATATTCCTTGACGGAGAGGGGAAACAGGGAGGGTGCAAACACCAGGTGGATGAAACAACTGTGCCAAAATAAACCCCATTTCATCTTTCAGATCCTATGGCCCTGAGGAGCTCAACTCCTGGAATTCTGGGAGTTGAAGTCCAGAAGTCTTAAAGCTGCCAAGTTTGCAGACCCCCACATCTAGGACAACATCAGAAAATCCATATTCTCTGCCCCACTGCTACCTCCTTTCATAACATTGAATTCGAAACAATTCAAGGAACAGACATTCTTAATTTTATTAATCTCTTTTTGGGGGGAGGAGAAAAGTTTATGCCTGTTTTCCCCCGTAAGCTTCAAATTATGGAAAGGGTCTCTTTCCCTCAGAGACGCCAAGGAACATAATCAACTGAGCCACAGAACTGAAGAAGAAGTTCTGAGGAAGAGACCATTTTGCCTCTTCATCAGGAAATAAGCTGGAAATGGGGACCTGTCATGCCTTTGTTGGAAACTGATTCTGAGGGAGAGGTTGAGCAGCTCACAGGGAGTGGGAGTGTGGCTCCAGTGGCTGTGGAGGAAACTGGGGAAGGACACAGTCCGGCTGGGCCTTCAGAGGAAGACCCAGGCCCACCCGCTCTTCAACCTACGGCATACAGGGAGGAACGGAGAAGGGAGCAACGTGGGTTATGGGGGAGAAAAAGGCCCTGATTCCCTCCATTCCTGGGAAAACAGGATTTAAAAAGGGCATTTGCGCAGAGCACCTTGCTGGAAGCAAAGCGTGCATTCTCGTTGTTTGTCAAGTCTTATCTGGGTACTGGTGTCCTCCCAACAGTGTGTGTTTCATTATTTTTTGAAGTCTTCAATTCCTTATCCTGCCCTGTCTCGTTAATTGCTGCAGCAAGTGGTTTGTGTTGGTCTTTATTTATAATCTATATGTACTTTGAGTTCGGACTGAATTTCTTCTCTTTAAAAACTGTTCTTGGGAGAGTTTTTTTCTCCAGCTGAGGATAACTGGGCATTGGGAGCCAAGCTGGAGGTATTAAAGGGACTTTACCTACTTTTGTAACTTTGTTGCTTTTGTGCCACGCCCCTTTGGGTCATCACAGGACCTCAAAGTCCCAGCCAACCATGACTACTACATCAGAAGGCATTCAGCTAGGGAAGGTCAAGCGAAAAGAAAAGTGGGTTGACTTGACTCCCATCTTTTCTTGCGCCCAAGCACATTCTCACACCTTAGCTCTGACCCAGGTTTTTTTTCAGACCTGAATTCTCTCTACGCAAGTGCTGCTTTCCTCCTCATTAATATGACTCGACAAGTAATTTCTCATTACTGACTGAGGTGTTTGCACACTTCACGTCCCATTCATTACCGCTGCTATGAGCGGTCCAGTCAACAACTGCCTTTTAATAGCCACCTATTCATTTCATCTGACAGCTAATAACCAAGCATCTCTTCCTATACGATGAAGTATGCATGTCAGGGCCTCCAACTGAACCCTATGCATATGGTCTTGCTCTGCAAGTCAAATTTTAAATTTACTGCCGGGGTGTTTCTTATCTCTTTGACTGGCTGGCCACATTAAACTCCCATCAATGTTTTTTTTTTACAACCGGCTCTTTTGAAAATGGTGACAAGGTGTTTGACTGCCATTACTCTGCCAAACCCCTTGTGAGAATAGGAGAGGCTTAGAAAATGGCTAATCTTCTCCAATGAGGTGTGATTTGTTAAGCGCGCAGAATGGTTTTTATTTAGGTGGCTCGAGACAAATTTAGAATGAGTTCCTCGGTTCTTCGGGGAGCCGAGTTGAATACATGCACTAAAAGTCCTTATGCGGGGCAAGTTTTGGAGCTCATCAGATACCTAGTAAGAAAAAGAGGAAGCGATAAAAAAATATCCCAGGTACGATTTGGAGGTTGAGAAGAAGAAAAATTCATGCCTCACTTCCCCAAAAGAAGCTTTTTTTTTTTTTAACTTTTGATTTTTGTTGACCTTCGCCTAGGGTTATTTTTTAGCGCTTGTTAAAGAAAATTAGATAGACAGCCAGGGTATGGCTGCCTTATTCTAGAACATTCTAGTGTTTCTCAGCTTTAGCAACCTGAAGAGATTGTGGATTTCAACTCACAGAATACCCCCTCTCGCTTAGCTGGCAGGGGAATTCTGGGGATTGTAGTCCACACCTTTTCAAGTGGCCACGCTGGAGAAACACTGGTTTAGAGTACGTGTTTTCAGAAGAGAGGGATAGAAATGAAATATACACCGAAAGCCCCTGGAGCATTGGATTCTCTGAAGTTTGATCTCTCCGTGGCTTAAGTCCAGCTGTAATCCACGGGACGGACTCTAAAGCTTGAATTCACGCAATGCAACGGGCACCTTTGGGGCCATGAGTCCTGGGAAGAATTGTATGAAATAGCTACTTATTGCCAAGCAGCAAAGCCACTCTAGGCACTCTATGAAATCCCTCCTCTATGGTATCGATCCCTGTCAACAGCTCTGCCTTGTTAGAAGAAGAGATACAATCTCTTACCCGCCCTCCCGCCTCCTCAAAAAACAGAAAGCTAGGAACCTCCAAGGAGTTAAGAAGGCAGATATATATTTTAAGCAGCTTTTTCCCATTCCTCATTCTGGGCATGCAAGTCCTAAGAGAACACCATTTCTTGATGTGATTTTGGCTAATGCCTCATTGGTCACATTTTTCAGGAGGAGAAGGAGTTGCGGGGGGGAAGAGAGAGAGGGAAAAGAAGAAGAAGAAGAAGAAGAAGAAGAAGAAGAAGAAGAAGAAGAA